GTCATTAAAACAGCTGAAAAATAAAGTTTGATGAGAGATTCAAATGGAAGACTTACACCATTGGCTGGGCTTAATAAATCATGATCCCATCCACGAGTTACGCAAAGATTTTTGTTTCAATTTATATAGTTTATCTTCATCCTCCCTGATGTCACCTTATTGTTCTTGCAAACTGACTGGAAGGTCTTACATTTTTGAATTTTCAAAATCACATAAAAATTTTTGAAAGAGATTGCACAGAGCCTTGTCCAAAGCCACTGCCTCTGCAGGCAAACTTCTCCCCTGCCTTACCATTCAGTGCAGAGAATGTCATCCCTGTGCCTGAATTCCCCTCCCTGCAAACTGAGGGAGCTGCCCCTCCTGCTGCTGCAGCAAAGCACCAAGAGGAATGTGGCACCATTTTCTCTGTAGGCTGTAACCACATCCCTGCACCACGTTATTTTCTCCCAACACACACAGATCCCCCAAGACTCAAGATGCTCACACCAAATGCTCCAACCTTGGTGATCTGATGGACTCGGGTTCATCAGCAGCTTTACAGCTGACATGAGTAAAATCACCTGAATCAATCAGATGACTGAACTTCGAACATGCTCTTTGTTCTCCACGTCTTACATAATGAAACTGAAATATAAAGTTTAAGTGGCCTTGATTTGGCTAAGCACTACCTAGCAACAACCAAAACATCAGTGTGTTATCAATGTAATTGTCATACTGAGTCCAAAACACTGCACTGTGTCAGGTATTGAGAAGAAAATGAACTCTAGTTCAGCTGAAGCCAAGACAATGACATAATATTTTGTACTTTGCACCAAGGAGAAGACTTGATACGCAAATTAATTTCTGCGTTTTCTAAAGGGGTGCCTGTAGGAGAGTCACTCTCTCTGGCAACACTGCAGAACAGCAGCCCAAACCAAAAGCATCTGTTTAAATCTGCACTGCTAAACCAATTACAGGAGATCCGGGCAGCTTTAAGGAGGGCTGTGTTGCTTGTAAAACCCTGTTTTGCAGAGTTGGAAGCACAGACAGCGCCGTTTGATTGCTGGATGCCAATGCCGTGCGCTTCAGCGGGACCGGGCCGTGCTCACACCGAGCAGCGATAAAACCCGGCATGGCAGGAAGTCCACTCATCAAAGGGAGTTAAGTGAAAATAAATGAATTTTTAAAATTTAAAAAACCCCAAACAAAACGCACCTTCCAGCTCAGACAGCCCGCTCCGGCAGCGCGGTGTCCCCGGGCTCTGTGGGACCCATGAGCCGCCGCCCCGAGAGAGGCCTCGCGTTCCGCGGCTGCCGGCGCTCTGCAGCGGGACACGGCACGGCTCGGCTCGGCACGGCTGCCACCGCCACATCCAGCCGCCGGAACCGCCGGCAGCCCAATCCCGGGCCCGGTGCCTCGCCCAGCGCCGGGAGCCCGGCAGCGGCTGCGTTGCCGTGGCGCTGAGGCCGCACCGGACACCCCTCAGCCGAGAACGCCTCACACCTGAGGGGACGGAATGAAACTCGCACAAAGCACCTGCAGCTGTGCCGGGCCGCTGCTCAGCTGTGCCGGGACTGCACCGCCGGCACAAAAAGCGTCAGCCCCGGCTGGGCCGCCGGTTTCAAATAAGGATGGCGAGCATGGCTTTGAGCAGCGTGTGCTATTCGCTGCTGCCAGGCAGGTGTCCTTACCTTTATAAATAACCCGTGAGTATCAATAAGTGACTGCAGGTGCTCGTCTTTAGCTGTGTTTGCAAAATGATCGAATGGGATGGGGTGGCTAACCCACAACAGCAGCCAAAGGTTCTCCAGGTGCCTCATCATGCATCAGCCCATCTTGTGCACAATGATTTACGATTTAAGCACCCTGCCCTCACACTCCTGGAATATTACAGAATACAAGAAAATATAAATAAAAATCTCATTCAATTTAACTGGTACTTAGTGGGTGTTTCCTCCACTGAATCCAATGCTTTGGCCAATCTAAATCAACTACTGGCACAGTGGGTATGACTTCTAACACTTTGCTGTGGCCAGGTTTGGATTTCTATGGAAACTGTAACAGCTTTTGCCATGTTGAAAAGTTAGTGAATTTTAAATGAGGTTTCTATATATTTTCACAGCAATATATAAAACTAGCACTACATTTTACAGAGTTATCCTGCTGAAAAATCCCTATAAATGAGCTCCAATTCAAGGCTGTAACCCATGTGGTGAACTGCACACAGAGCATTATGAGTCTAGATAGCAAGTTTTAAACACAAAAGCCCCTTCATTAAAATACCACAAGCAAAGAACCACTAGGGTATTTCTGCTTTGCCCAGCTGTAGAATGCTCAACATCACCTGGAATTTCCAGTGCATTTTCTAAATCCAAGCCAGCACCAAAACCCGGTTTTGATTTTGAAATGAGAAATACCCTCATAGTCAAACCTAGCACAGGGAGATTCAAACAAGCTCTGCTCTGTACTGGCTATGATATGGACCAGTCCAGCTGGAAATCATGCAAAGGGAGCTCCCTGCTATTTCAACTATCAGAACTTCACCTGCAGCAAGCAGTGGCACATTCAGCACACACTGCTGGGCATGGGAGTTCTTTTGCTTGAATGTGACATTTTGGGGTTTATTGTCTGATTAGGAAACTGGAAATAGCATACCTGCTTGTACTCTTCAGAGGAAGAAAGACACAGATTGCTAATATGAGAAATACTGTAAAGAAAACCCTTATACATGTAATATTTTTCATTATCAGAACTTCCTTCTTACAAACAAAAATAATACTTACCTTGCAGTTTCTTCACTGCATGGGCTACCAGATAAGAACTTTTATGTCATAATTCCTGTACCTGCTTTTAATTATTAAAAAGTTTCCTTATACTCTCACAGCACATTACTCACTGGTAGATGACTTGGCAACTTAGCCTTGTAATATTGCAATTAAATTTGGTAGACTTTCTACACTCTGATTCATTCTGTATCTTGCTCATTTCTGCAATGCTGAGTAGACCAAGCAGTATTTTCAAGCCTCTCAGCTGCCAGATTCTTAATGCCCAGGACAAGTAGTTTCTGAAACAAACACAGTAATTGCACACTCATGTTCCACGCAATTTTACAAAATATTTTTTCAAACTCAATTTCCCTCACTTGTCAAGAGCACAAGCACAGCTATCCTGGTAAGAAGAGGGACAGTTATCATCATATAATGGTTTGGGTTGGGAGGGAGCTTACAAATCATCCAGTTCCAATCCTCTGCCATGGGCAGGGACACCTTCCACTAGATCAGGTTGCTCAGAGCTCCATCCAACCTGGCCTTGAACACTTCCAGAGATGGGGCATCCACAGCTTTTCTGAGCAACCTGTTCCAGTGCCTCACCACCCTCACTGTCAAGAATTTCTTCCCATTATCTAATCTACCTCTAGTCTCAGTTTTAAGCCACTGGGATGCATTTCTCCAAGATGTCTCCTTCCTTAGGACTTTAGAAAAGGCAGAAATTTCAAACTGTCTCAAACCACCATTAAACAGAATAGTTTGTTTTCTTGATATGTTAAAAAAAAATAGCCATCATTCCTGATAAGAGCTCTCACTGCAAGAAATGTAAATATTCGGATAATTTCTGAACTTAACGCTGCAACACCAAAACAACCACATGAATACACTGTCTCTTTCACTAAAAAGAAAGCCCATTTGTGCATTTCAAACAATGGAAAAGCTTTGTCAATGAAACATGCGTTTGGAAGAAACACACTATCCAGGCCACCAGGAGTTAACCCTCTCTTTTGAGTGCAATTCCCTTTCTAAAGGACATTTGTTATGGTTTTGTTGTTTTCTATTTCAGCCATTTACTTGAAATTTACTTGAAAATAAAACAAATGTACCATTAGTGCCCTAAGAAGTTAACATGTATACCAAAGACTGCATTTGTCTTACACAGCTATTCAGAAAGGGCACCAGAATTTCACATAAAAAGTGAAATTATATTAAGTCTGTTAAGTACAGCAAGATATAACTAGATCATTACAAATAGGAACACCAACATTTTCTACATAAGCCCCAGACATGTGGAAAACAGTTCCAGGAAGTGAGCTGCTAAGTTCATGATTCAGTGGTAGTAGTCAGCATGGATTCAGCAAGGGGAAGTCAGACATGAGCAACCCTCTGCAGTGAAATGACTGCCAGGAGCTGGAGGGAGAGCAGCGAGGCCTCTGACACTGCCCAGAGATCCTGGCTAGTGATGGTGGGCAGAGCATGCCCTCAGCGGTGGCACATGCAGGTGACACAGAACTGGGAGTGGCTGATACACCTGTGGGTCCTGCTGCCATCCATAGGGACCTGGAGGCAGGCTGGAGAAATGGGCTGTGGAGGAACAGTCCCATACACTGATCCATGCTGGAGCCTTCCAGCTGGAAAAACGCCTTCACCGAGAAGGCCTTGGAGCCCTGGAGTTGAACAGGAGCCAACAGTGTGCCCCAGACCATGGCATGGGCTGCACCAGCAAGGGCACAGAGGTGCCCCTTCCCTTCACTCACACAGGAGCAGTGCCCAGAGTGAGACACACAGACATAGCTGCGAGTCCAGCTAAAGGCCACCAAGGGGTTCAGGGACTGCAGCACCTCTCTTACAAGGAAAGGATGAGGCAGCAGGGATTGCTTAGCCAGAAGACAGCTCAGGGAGACTCTTATCAACTGAATCTTATCATCTGAAGGGGGGGAGCAAAGGAGATGGAGCCAGGCTCTTGTCAGGGATGGGCAGTGACAGGACAGGAGGGAGTGGCACACACTGGAACACGGCAGGTTCCATCTGAGCACAAGAACATACTTTTACTGTGAGGCTGACTGAGAACTGCAGCAGGTGGCCTGGGGAGACAGGGTCCTTCCTTGGAGATCCAAAGCCACCTGGACATCATTCTGGCCAGCAAGGCCTAGATGGGATGGCTGGAGCAGGGAGTTTGGACAACATGACTTCCAGAGGTCCCTCCCAACCTCAACCAGTCTCTGATTCTGTGAATAAACAAAAGCATCAAAGTTCTGAAAAAATGGCAAAGTTTATTTTTCTTTAATATAAAAATGTCATGAACTGCATAGAAGTATGACTTCAGTCATCTGAAAACGTTACTCAACATTCCTGCACACTTGGAAAGTCCCAGAAATATGGCAGGAAGCAAAACAGACTAACAGTTGCCTACAATGTAGGGATTTACATTCAATTGGAGTTAATTTGTACAACAATATTTTAAAATAAATCCAATGCACTTACCCAAACAAAGTCTGATTCAAGGTATATTTTAAGTATATATAAAATACAAATAAAGTATTCAAAACTTAAATTCTTTGGATAAAACCAATGTTCAATTATTTAAAGATAAGTTAGCTCTAAAGTAGTAAGAAATGTAAACATCAGATACTGTGATAAAATCCTAAGGAATAACAGCTTTTTCATAAAGTGCTGGCATATGCTATCAGATTTATTTTCCAGATGCTAAAAGATAATTGTAATTTCCATTCAGGAGTATTTTGGCAGAATTTTAAGTTATAACCATTTTTTTAAACATTCTTTTTTACCTTTATCTACACAGCTTTTTGGCATTTTCTCCTTTATCTTAAGTGAACTTTAACTTCTACATATGTATCAAATAATTTGTGTTTTTACCTTACCCAGTTCAAACTGGAGTCCATGATGGTGGAAAAAAAATCAAAAGGTCAGGTAAGACTCCAACTGGGAAAAGCCAAGGATTTTGAATAGTAAAAGGTGTAAAGTACCTGAGCACAATCCAACAGCTGCCTTCTGCAAAGTAATCCCGTAACTACATATACTATCAGTACCACTGAAAAAAGCTCCATGAGAATTAATACACAGAGGAGATCTGGTGTGGTTCACTCACACCCAGCTATCAGAGCTTGGTCTCTGCTGAACAAACCTGTTACTTCATTTCACATGAAATTAAGTTTTGGAGAACTTCTGACAACCACAAGCTGAAAAATTTGACATGCCTTACACCTCAGTCTGCTTTTCACTTGTCCATGTGAGCATCCCCCCAAACCAAGACAACAGCCCTGAATCCACCCATGCATTATGGTGACACCTTATACTGAAACCTGTTTGGGAAAAACCTGCTCTGTCCTGGTGTGAAGAAAGAAAAATCACAACCTTTTACCACTCATCAGGTTCACCTCTCAATCATATTCCAAAATGCCAAACTGCACAACTATTGAAAAATCCACAGGCACATTTAAAAAAGATTATCAGATTGTGGTATTTTATTACAGAAAACAATTCCAATTCAAAGACAATAAAATTTAAGCTTTGAGGACTGGAAAATCCCAAAATATTTTAAAATGGCATTTACTTTCAAAATATCTGTAAGAGTTTTAATAAATTCACTGCCCAAAAAGGCTCCCAGCCTCTGTTATGATTAAAGGGCTTATTTTATGAACATCAGTTTCAGGCTGTTAAGGCACAGCTGGCATTTGCTCTAAGACAAAACTTGACACAGGCATTATTACCTCAGAGCCAGAAACAAGTGGAAGGCACAGAACATTAAAAAATACCACGAACTAAACCAATTTTAAAGGCTTAAAACAATAATTAGGTTCTTTGTCTTTAAATACCAACACACTGCAGTCCATTTCTCAGAGCAGGCACAAAGCTGAGCAATTAAGGGCAACAGTAATTGACAGCAAGATGCACTACTACTTAGAGGGGAACAGAGAAAAGTTGTTAATTGCAGTTTCACTGGTAAAAATGGTTATTTTCAGTTTTCGCAGTTCTACAACTTTTACCTAGAGGCTTTCTGTTTTGTGGCTTGTTTTTGTGGGTTTTTTTTGTTTTTGTTTTTTTTTTTTAAGATAAGAGAAAAATCAATACAGGTAGATTATACTATTTCAGAGGTTTGATAAAAGCAAACCACCAAGTTCAAATATTCTCATCAGCATAGGAACCTCATCTTCAAATGTAATTTATGGTAAGAATCCAAGGACCACAAGCCCAAGGACTGACAATCTACTTGTTTTCTATGCCAAGTGTTGCAGAGATCCAACACAGCATAACTACACAGGATATGCATAATAATGCCCAAGTGGACCAGACCTATAAGGTAGAACTACTAGTGATCCTAGAGGGAAAACAGGTTTCCAAATGGCCCCAACAGATGTACCATAGTCCCAAAACATACAAAATTTAGCCTCTATTTAAAGTGTTGAAAATGGTAGCAAACAACTTCAGAAAACCAGCAGGATTCAGCTTCCCTGCTTCCCTTCCCGGTTTCTTACTATGGGTAGTCCTAAAAGCATGCATGTGTTCAACTACTGTTTGGCAAAGGCTATGTTTAAACTCATTTGCAGGTTTCAGTTTGTTCACTCTAGCATCATCTTTTGACTAGAACTTGAAAAGTGCAAAAAATATTTAATTATATCTTCTTAAAAAAAATAATTAATTTTATTGGCGCAACAACTCCAATTCCTCAGGAGTTAAATCCACTGCCAGCAATGGATAGAAAAGGAGGCACCAGCATAAAAGAATCAAAGTGCATTTCCAGTATGCCAATGATTTGCACGAACTGGCAAGCCAGAACCCTTTTTTCACCACTGGAACAGATTATGTTGAATTAATTTCATGGAAAGTCTGTATGACACATTAGCACACAAAGTCTGTCATGAAGTCTTGGGGATACTGCAACGAATCGTCAAAGCGGAAGCGTTTGGAGAGCGTGCTGCTGTCCTCTGGAATGTTCTCCTTGTCCTCCTTGTCACTGCCATTGCAGCTGGGCTTTGCACTCCGCTCTTCTGAGCACTTGCCTGTGTGTCCTGGCAGCTGAGAGGAGCAGCAGATTTCTTCAGGGCTGCACAGGAGCGTGAGCTCCCCTTGCTGCAACCACGAATGGGAGAGACAGTCTGCTGCAGTGGGCCTGTCCCTTATGGAGGGGAAAGGGAAAGGTGCCCAAGTTAGTTTCACCAAGACAAAAAAACCAAAATAACTCTGATGCTAAAAATCCTAAACAAAATTGACAATGAAAAGTCAGTATTGGTGTGTTTTTACCCCTACCTCAGCTGCTACAAAACACAGTTAAGTATTGGCTACACGCATCTAAATTTAGTGGCTGGTTTACCTTAAAGCCAGTAAGCTTTCAACAAAACAAGGAACACGGTCCCTGGGAATGTTTTCAACATGGTACACATAAATGGGTACTTGCTTTTGCTTTTAAAGTCATGTTTTATACAGACCATGAATAGTGAGGCTCATGAATATTTAGTTATTATGCTTTCAAGAATAGCCAAGTCAACAGGATGTCATCAGCTCTGACATTTTCTAGTGTTTTACTCTTGCAATTCATTTGACATAAACCCTTTCAAAATGTAGATCCTACCAAACAAACCAGACTTAACTGCTCCTCTGGATAACATAGTACAGTGCTAGTTCAAGTTTTAATTGTGCTCTGCATTGTTAACTTCCACAGGACTTTGCCAGAAAACTGACTCCAAGGCAACAGAGCCCACTACCTGTCCCCAGCTCCACCAGAAAACAAGACTATTTTTCAGTCAGAAAAGTGTAACTTTATAGACATGACTCTGAGAATAGATTTTTCCTATTAAAATTCAAGAAGGTAGAGTCATCAAATGGAAAAAAAAAAAAAGACATCTTATTCAGGATGAAGACTCTTGAGATGCCCAGGAGAAAGTGAGCACTAATTGTGACAGAATGTCAAATATCCCACAGGTCAACACTAAGAGTTATCAAAGCAGGTTCTTCATCATTGATTCCTTTTTCTAGGTGCTCCACAACCATGAAAGACAAGATTTCCTCACCATACTGGGGTTTTGTGAATTATTTCAGTCCCTGACAAACCACGTATGTGAGCTGTTTAGACAGGAAGGACTCTTCAGACCTGACTTTATATGGAGCCCTTATTGCCTCATGGCAGCCACTTCCCAGGAGTCACCTCCCATCTCTCCTCCTATCCAAGAGCCTCTCTCAGCCAGGCAGGGTCACCCCTGCCTGCTGGAGGCTCTCTGAAGATGACAAGGATTACTGTCTCACCGCAAGTGACAATATCTAGCACTGCAATCAATAACTCCTGGCCAGCTCACTTCTCAAAGTGCAGCTACTTTGTAACGTCTTGATCAGAGTCTGAACTCCCAAAGAATGCAGAGTTAAGGGAGTGTGCCTTACAATTTTCACTTTTACATTTTAGAAGACTGAACAAGGCAAAACACTGCCAAATAGAAATATAGAAAAAGAGATGTATTTAAGTAAAAAGATAAAGGTTAAGTCAGGAAACAAGAAAGCACTGCAAAGAGGTTGCATTGCCTTTCCAAACTACAATAATTACAGAAAGGAATGTGACCTTTCTAGAGTATACTTTACTAAAATTTGTTGAAAATCTGTCATCTCAATGAAAATATAAAGCAACTCAAACAAAAAAACCTCAAAGAACAAGCTTGAATAATAATAACATTATCTGTAAAAATAGTAAAAATAATATCTAACAATTTTTGCCAGACATTGAATCCAAGATTCTTCTCACACATTATGGAAGAACACAAACTTGCACTTTTAAATATCCAGTTGAAAATACCAATGCATTGTGAAATATCCAACTGATCTTATCAGTGACATTAAGTACATAAATTAACATTCACTTTTTCTAGCTGCTCCACAAATTTAGGATTCTTACCTGGAAGAGTTTGTTACTTACTCTGGATTTTTTATGAGAAGTTTTTGAATGAAGTCTTTTGCAGGCTGTGAAACCGATGAAAATGTTTCTTCTGAATAATCCACGTTAACTTGAGATATATTAAGGTAAGTTTCTTGAGTATCAGCTCCCACGAATGGAGATTCTTGTGTCAGTAGCATGTACGAGATGACACCGATGTTCCTGAGATAAGAACACAACGTGTAAACCTACTAAAGAATCTAAACAATACATCTTGCATATATTTACTGTGCTGCAGATCAAACCTCCTGACACACTCAGAATTCCACACTCAGAATTCCAGCAAACATGTTACACCTCATGTGATTCAAGCAGGACTGCACATACACACACAAGGAAAGGTATGTGTATAAATATCTCAATGAAGGGATTTTTGAAAACTGTTTAATTTCAATATACCCTTTTCTTCCTACTGAGATTGTTAGGAAAAGGAAATACCTCTTTTACACTGCCCACTCTTGGGCTTGGAAATTCTGGATTATAGAGCTGCAAAAAAGACAGACTTTCTTATCTGCATGCAAATAAAATCCATCAATCATTGCAGTTCTGGATGACACAGCAAAGACTTTTAATCAATCTGAGTTGTGTTACCATCTCTTCTAGCTGAGATGTTTCTCCCAAGAACATGAACATGAGCACCACAGATCATGCAATCTATTATAAAACTTAAGATGGTTTCTTGATGCATAATAAAACAATTTTTGTGATCTGATAGATCAGGATTTAGTACTCATTACAGTGTGGAAACATGCAGCTGCTGGGTTTGTCATTGTGAGCAGAGCATCAATTATGTCTCCTCACAAAAGCAGGCAAATAATACATGATTAAAAACGTTCTTGAACAGATTTAGTTACTATTACAAGTTAAGGATTTCAAAGGAGTAATCAGCAACTTTTAACAATGAATATTAATTAAGATGCTGAAGATTTTAAGGAAACATTTCAAAGCTAATCTTTAACATAGCTCATTAAGTTTAAAAGCCACAAAAAAGTTCAAGGTATGTGTCATTTTTTTATGATTCATTCTGCAGATACTTCTCTAAAAATAAGAAGTAGGAAGTTTACATCCTTCTTACAATTTGTATAGAAAATTATTTAACAATGTAAAAATGGGGAGGGAAGTGTCCTAGAGTAGCTAATATCCGAATCATCATACCAGGAGTATGTAATACCTAAAGTATGTTATCCAGCCACTGTTGTTATTCCCTCAGAACAAACATCCTTTCTTCACAGGCTGCATTCCCCATTAAGTGTGCAACAGATCCATAACTCCTGTAAGCCCTGAGTTACATCCTGAGGGTTTCTTCCCCTCCCTCTCTCCCTCCCTCCCTCTTTCAGCCATCCCACCAACAGAAGGGGATTCTTGGAAGCCAGATGAAACTTCATCAGGGCCTTAGATTGTTAAGGGGCTCCACCAAACCTCAGTAAAACAAAGATAAAAACCTACCACATGTCTGTAGCTGTGGTAATAGGATCATAGTTCAAGATTTCTGGAGCTAAAGAGATGAAGAAAAATGCTTTAATAAATATCTTATTCAAATGGTCTTGAATCATACACTACATTTCTGGCATTCTTTTGCCAACCGTCATTATGAGACTCAACATGTAGTTTCAATAATTAGGTTTATTATTTCCAAGCCACAAGGGTGGCAAAAATTTATTTCCGTTTGCCTAGACACGGATGTTTACTCAGTTCACACCGAAGTGGCACTGCATGGCCTGAACTTTATCCAAGTTTCAAGATGTGTTCTCTTCAGATGCATGCACATAAATATTTCTTCTAAGAGATTTTGAATTATACAGCTTTTTAAGGGGACTGAATAAAGCCTTCAGCATGTTAAAACTGCCAAGTAAGATGACCAAGCCAATTTTAGCAACAATGGCTGTTAGCATAGGCTAGGTAGCAAGTTATTCACTACAGAATAAAGTGCTCTTAACATTGAGTGTTGGCAAATCATGAAGGAAACTTGTCCCTCAGAGAGGGCCAAGTGTTAACAGCTATCTTTCCCTTTCCAAGGAGTATTTTAATCTCATTAAATCATCATATCGAATAACATTAAAGATGTTACATTAATTCAAAGAACATTTCTTTGTGCATACTAATGCTGTATTTCAGTTCTAATCAGAACAATTTAACAGCCTGTATCGCAGCAAATACTACAGTATAAAACTGAGAGGTGCACTTATGGATATAATTTGGGATTTTCTGGTGCAAATATTTGTTGACTGCTCTTAAAAAAGAGCAGCTCGAAACATGTTGCCTCGTCCTGTGACATTCTTTATCATCATGTAAATTGCTAAATGTGCTACATGAACTGCTCCTGTTTTCTCAAAAGCCCACAGGAGATGTTGTGAAGCAGCCCCTCCATACCGAGATACTCTGTTGTTCCCATGATGTGCCGCAGTTCATTGCAATTCTCAAGCTTCCGGGACATCCCAAAATCTACAATTTTTACATCACCAAGAGGATTGACGCTGCTCAGCAAAATATTTTGAGGCTAGAATAGAAAATATTGCATTCCTAATTAATAAAATACAATCTGAAAAAAAAGCCCAGTGTACTAAATGACACTTCAGCTTCTATTATGCAATACTTATTGCAAAATGCTATTTAAAAATATTTAATCTCTATCCTTTTAATCTCAATTTAATATCACTTAATCTCCTTTTTCTCCTCATCTTTTTTATGTATTTAACAAATTGCTTCGATGAATATAATAAATTGAAGATAAAATGCTAAAACAGAGCCTGCTGCAGCCTCACCTTTAAATCAAGATGAACAATATTGTTCTCGTGCAAGCAGCAAAGTCCTTCAAGTATTTGCCTTATAAGCCTTACAATATCCCTTTCACCAATTCTGTCATCCAGATCTGGGACACACAAGTCAAATATTTCTCCTCCAGCAGCACTGAAACACATTCAAGAACACCTATGTATTAAGTCTAAATTTTGAAACTTAAGTGAGGAAAAATGTTTTCAATAGCACATGTTTATCTAATATATATCTGTAATATCAGAGAGGATGGGAATATATATTTTTATACATATTTACACAAAAACACTTTTATATAAACACTTAGAAAAGGGGAAAAAAAAATCTGATGATGCTTTTTTTCCCTTACAGCCTGAAACAGCAATTGAGGCAGCAAAAAAGCACTTTGACTGGTAACCTCATAATGCTCTGGTCCCCTCAAGAAAGAAGATGCCTTCCAGAAGTCGAGTTCTATCATGAGTCCCTAATCAAAGAAGCCTTTCTTTTCAAGTCAAATCTAAAATTTCTTCCATGAGACCAGTTCATAAATAATTCAGAGCAGCATACAGCACATGGAAATATCTGTGTTCCTGTGGTTTATGAGTTATTCCTACACTTGGCTGCAGTGTCAGCTGTCTCCTTTCAGGCTGGGTTTGAGATCATTACTCAGCCTGCTCCGAGTGCCTCAAGTCACCCTCTCAGGGATGAAGGGCTTCCTCAAAACTACAGCTCACTGAGCCTAAACCTCATTGCTAACAAAATAAGAGTCCATTAAAAAGTCAGATAATGGACAAAACCAATGAACACAGCCACAAACCGCCTGAGCTTATGTGAGGTGTCAGTAATGCCTCCCCTAGGTGACTTCATGGCAACATGGACACGAGGGGAAGGCAGAGGATGCCATGAATTTCAACTCTCCCAAGGTTTTCAGCACTGGCTCCCACAGTGTTCCTGCACTCAAGTTACATTATGGTCTGGATGGGTGGGCAAAGAGCTGAAAGCTCTGCAGAAAAGGATTTGCAAAAAACACCTTAGAACAAATAATGAGGGGTTATCTAGTTACATGGGGGAAAAAAAGCTTATTAAGATAAAATCTAGCTAAAATCCTTCAAATTTTCCCAAGAAAAGATCATGGTGTACAGAGACCGCCATTAACAGTACTTCAAATACTTTGTACGTGAAACTTAAAGCTTAGAAAAAATTAATGTCATAGGCTATATTTTTGTTCCTTACATTCCACACAAAAATTTACACATACAATAAATATGATAGATAATGCAAATTGAATTCCCAAATTAAACTTATTTTTCAGAGCTAATAAAATGCTCTGGGGACATGTGTAAAAAATATGGGAATTTTTTACGAAACTGCCCAAAAGTCAGTTTTAAAACAACAAAACCACTAAATTGAGGAGCTCAAAACAAAGTAACTCTAAGTCTTCAGTCACCAAAAAATGTCAACTGCTAACTTGAAGTTTACAAGCATGGCTGTGCTCAACCTCTTTGAAATCTGTGTACTTGGTATCAGTGACTTTTTTGTGTGATTTAAGTTGCATCAAAGCACTTCTATGGTATTCCAAGAACATTATTTCCAGTCAGCTTGCCTGAACCATCCTTAAAGGAAAAAATACAAAGCATATTATAATGAAAGATTAAAATAATGTATACAGGCTACTGTTGCAATTCTTCTGGGTATTCAGGCAACTCATGCAAAAAAATTAATATATTGAAAGATTTTTTCCAAACAAACATGGAGCACGTGATGAAGGCATACTTACTATTCCAACACTAAGATGATTTCATTTACTGTTTCATAGACTTCATGCAGATTTACTATGCGAGGATTGGATTTCATTAATTCAAGGACAGCAATTTCATGCAGAATCTCTGCTTTGCAGTCTTGACCTCTTCTTCTTTTCTTTAAAAATTTAGCTGCATACTCTTGGCCTGTCGATTTAGCTACACATTTTCTAACCACAGCACATCTTCCTCTATAAAATAAAAGGGAAAACATTGAGATGCAGGAAATCAAAAGTGCATAAATTAACATTAGAAATAAGAAGACATAGCAAATAATTGGAAACAAACAAAAAATATATTGGGAAATGCCATGCTTGGCCTGCTCTTACACTGGTTTCCTGAACATTCACTGGCAGGCACTGTGGAAGGATACTAAGCTAGATGAAGCTGTGGTGAGACCCAGTAAAATTCCCTTTATACAGCATAGCTAAACATTAAATCAGAGTATCAGGTTACAGGGACATTCTCACTTCACAAAATAATTCAGTTGGAAAGGACTTCTGGAGGTCTCTAAAAACCTCCTGCTTAAAGCAGGGCTGGCCCTGAGGACTTACCAGGCTGCCCAGAGCTCTGTTCAGCTTGGCAAGATATTAAAAAAAACCTCAATCTCATTACAACACCTACAGGACAATAATAAACAAAGCAAACCCCTGTGAAATGCAGAGAATGAACAGGAAAAATAAAGCACATTTAAATGCATGGGTGGGGCAGGAGGCTTTCAGTGAAAAAAATTTAGTCATAAAGAGAATTTCCTTCCACAAACCATGTAGTACTGCTACAAAAATCCCAGGTATCTGCAAAATGTTTCAAAACATCTTAATAGAAAAGCACCCACCACTTAGCATTCTCTTCCTCAATTACAGTTAGACAAAGTGTGTTGCTTTATTTCCTAGTCAACTGTTTAGGTATGAAAACAAAAGCATAATTTGGCAAAGAAATGTTCTTAGAAGAAAACCACGTACTGTAGCTAAAACACCAAGCTGATCTTTAAAAAAATTAGGAGGAAAAAATTGCAGTTTTTTAAGCCAAGTTATAAGCTCCTGAAAAAAACCAATTTTATAGCCACTATATTGCATTCCCAGAAACGCCTGGTTGCATTCATGCAAAGTGCTTTCAAATGGTACAAGAAACCTTATTTACAAAAAAACAACTTGAAAGGCTGCAATAAACTGAGTAAAGTTCTAAAAACAGTATCAGGCTATGTACCAAGTGCACAATCTACATTTATCTCTTAAAAAAAAGCCTGCCTACCTCTATTTTTTGTTACCACAGCACACTAAGAACGAACATAATGAAACAGCTCAGAACGAGCTCTCTGAGCTGTGTTCTTTAAACTGAATTAGCTTCTTTAGTAGAAAATACCACATTGCCTTGCAGGCTTTGCCTTTTTTCTGGTGCAAAAATGCCAGTGCTTAAAAGGACCATTTCTTAAAAAAAACAAAAAAAAAACTTTTAAAAAAGTATTTTTTTAAAAAAAATCTAGACTTCAGTGTTTAATCAAAACAGGAATGAGCATCTCATGCAAAAAAATAAATTTTCATTTGCAAGTAACTGTACAAAAGGGCCTAAATTATTAAATATTTAAAGATTACTTTGAATCATACTGCTATAACTTAAAAACAAATTCAACAAAACAGGCCTTCTGTTATCATTTATTTCAACATCAATTAGTTGCAGATTTTCTCTGTCCTTTTATGAAAGCACTAAACTTTTAGAGGTGAAAGTTATTTAGTCTGACACATGCACACTCTTTACCTTAGCAACTATTTGTAAGCCTGAAACAGCCACGTTCTTTCCCAACTGTTAACCCAGCTTAGTATTGCAGAGCATTTGAAGTTACTGCGCTCAATTTCATAACACATCCAAGTTGAAAACACTCCCCCCTCCAGCTCACATTCTCTTTTTAGCATCACATCAGCCCTGCCAGCCATGAAAGTGTCTCTAAAATCAACAAAAGGGGAACCAGTTTAGTTTCATGAGAACAGCAAGATCTTCCCCAGTAGTTTTGGCACATCTTCTTTCTGCTTGCTGTGGGTTTAAGAACTTTGAAGGCTCGGTGATATCTCCAGATTTGAGATGTAAGAATTTCCACTTGTTTATTAGTGCCAATTAAGGCAAAAATTAAAGCCAAAAACAAGACAAGAAAGTGTTTGAGAGCTGTGGAAATTGCTGCAGAAACACAGAAGAAGTCAGCTCGGAAGTGCTGCACTGACGCAAGCGGAGCAGTTCCCACTCCCTGCCTGTGTAACCAGCCCCCTTCACAGCCCAGCTCTACAAGAAAAACTGATTTCAGGATGTTTTCATATCTCAGCTCAGAAACCACAGAAATTTAACTAACTTCAAAAGAAGCCAAGCCCCGCACACACCAGGGACAGAACTACTTAAGCCACTAAACAGAACCTAACCTGCCAGCTTCGTGAGTCAGTGTCTTAAATACCAAAGGACCCAACAGATAAGGGTGTGGGAGAAAGAAACAGGGCTTGGGAAGCTTAAGCAGAGAACAAGAGAACTATTTACTACATAATCTCAACATGAAAAAGAAAATTGCAAGTGAAAATTAAAGCATATTGAATCCTTTAGAGAGGTTACAAAGAAAAGATGGATTTGACATCATTTAAAAAGCATTATATACTTAAAAACATGAAAAAATACACATGTAGTCAGGCCAGGAGAAATCACAAATATATTTGTAAAGCAAAGTCCTGCTTCAGTTTTCTTTGCATTTTGGCATTTATTTTGTAATGCCTGGTTTTGCATGCACAGAAAAAAATTTAAAACTCTGTTCTGGAATTCACACAAAATTACATTTTTATTTGCTTTAGACATCATCTCACAAGTATCCAGAGTCTGAAAATCCAGCGTTGGAACAATACCTGAGTTCTAGAGGGTGCTGCATATAAATTGCTTCTGTAGAGCTTAGAATTCAAAAGCAGAGCTGACAAAAGTTAAGAAAAGAAGAAAGTTATGGGCTGCAACGTGCACTCCTATAAAAGTGTACCAGATAAAGCACATGCTAGAAAAATAGAAAAAAAAACAAGTGAACAGTGAAGGCTGAAAAGCTCACAAACCACATGCAGAAGAGCATCTCTGCTAACAAAACGAGCTGCAGGTGCAAAGGATCCTTATGCAGCAGAGCAAGGCACAGCTGTGGGACTGACACTTCTGTTCAAGGAGCTTGGAAACACCATCACAGAACGATGTTTGCATGGCTTTGCACCCCATTCACCGAGTACGTTCAGGGTATGAATTAACCCAGCAATTTCAAAACACACATTCACTTGTATGTCTGAAACAGTGCCATAAATACCAAGGTTTTTGGGCGCTTTGTTGTTTTATTTCCTATTTTACTGTTGCAAATAAGAGCAAGAGAAGCAAGCTGCAAAACTGCTCTGAAACAGCAGCTTGTTTGAAACTCTAACTGCTTGAGGTTGGGAAGGGGAGAGAAATGGTCTTTGTTTTCTGGACCTCAGAAAACTCACCCAAACACCTGGGACAACCAGCCCAAAATCCTCACTGGTTGTCTTACAGTATCACCCCATGTCATCTCTTGTTTAGGCCATGCACCCGGAATCTATGTGGACTAGGCAGGGAAAGGAAGGTAATCCCAAATCTGCATGCCTATGAAAAACCCTCCAGATCTCTCTGACATGGAAAAGGCTGGCAACTTATGCCTCACTGACCCTTTTCCTGGTCCCTAGGGAACCCACTGTGATGCAAAGAAGGGGCATACTTCATTCTCCATCTACTACCATAAAAGTTTGTCTGGTTGTACAGAGAATTTTCTTGCAGCAGAAATTCCTCTTTCTCAAATAAAATAAACAGGAATAATCTTACCTTCCTAGCTCTTTTGATTCCAGCATATAAAAATTGTGGAAGTTATCTGTCTTGATTGGTGTGTGCAGAGATGTGGCCAACAAGCCAGAAAGGCTTTTATTCTCCAGCTTTCTCCTTGACATTGTCAAGAGGAGGTCTTGCTCTTCTACCAATCACCTGCTGAAGCAAAACAATTAAGAGTTTTGGAAATTCCATAGTTGCAGCACAGGAAAGTATACAAATATTGTGAGTTTAGAGCTATAAAACTAGAATAGCCAGAACTTGGCCCAGTAGCAGCCTGAAAACGGCATATTTAATCACTGTAAAAATAAAACCTGAAAGGCATACTAATCAAGACATGCTAATTTAATAATGTAAACACTCGAGATAAGTTGGAGTTTTTTTTCTCCCTGGAGCATATCCATAAGATACTAGGGATAAGCTTTAGCTCTAATAAAAATGCTAATAGCTACTTAAACATTAATGAAATGCACCTTTTTTTTAATCTTTCTGAAACTCTTCTCTGCATTCTGGTCAAGTTCCACACTTCCTTTAAGTTTACACTTTTAACAGATATTTGTTCCTGGAGGAATTTACCGAAACAATTTACTGTTTGTTAACTGCAACACAGCAGGAATAGGTAACAACAGGACAAAGTGGGGCTCTTTTCCCAGTGGGAATATTCACATTTGTTATTAGGCCCACTCATAGCTCCTCTGAGTTTCCTTTTTAAGTGAGTTAATTGTCAGAAAGAAGCATGAATGGACAAGGTCCTCTGCTTTGCAAGTTCAGATCATTTAGAATCAAATGATGTAGTAATCCTGATTAAATTACCTTAATAAACCAGTAGAACAGCACATTATGAAGATACACCCACCTACATCATTTCTACTACAGTGAAAAAAAACCCCAACAAAATCAAACCAGATAAAAATACTGGGGGTTTGGTAGTCACATTTATAGCCTGAAGCATCTCTTCAGGTGAAATGCAAAAGCAAGGCAGAAAAAGGTTACTGAAGGATACCAGAAGTATTAATTGATGGCTTCTTTATAAGTTAAAGAGCAGGTTTACCTTTATCAGTGAAAGAAAAAAAATAAGGCAAATTATAATTCAGAGACAGTTAGCAAACTCTCAAAAACACACTTGCAGTTTAAATGAGAGAAATGCACTGCCAGACACTTCTGGGGGAGCACTCGAACTAGTTATGATCCAAATGTAACCCAGTACCCATCCGGCATTGTTCACATTCCCATGTGGGATGGAACATGGATATTCATATTAGAAGTATTTTGGATTCAAACCATTGTACATAATTTAGCAGGAAAAAGGCCCAAACTGCACAGCTTAAAAATAACTTCTAAGTACCATCTGATATGCAGGAAATAGCTCCTTTAAGAAATTATTAAAAGGTCACAATACAATATAATAGACAAGTCTTTGACTCACTCTGTAACCAGCAAGCATTCCTTCTCCCCCAATTATCTGACAGTTTACCATTTAAGAGTACGATTTTGATGTCTGAAATTTTATGTGACTCTCCTTAGGGCTGTGTTCACTCGATAACTTTAACTCCTAAACTGTATCTTCCTCCTGCTGTACTTCAGCAGAAAACCATTTGTGTTCGCTAACTGGCCTCACTGTTTAAGAGCTTACCATTATCACAAGTTTACTACAATTATCGAGCTATAACGTAAGCTTTCATTTTACATCATCATTCGTACAGAACTTCTGCCTCACGTTGCCTTGACGTTGTTTCTCTGGTAAGACACCACATCTCCTTTTTTTTGCTCAGAATCATCAAGAATAGAGAAGAACACAAATCCATAGCAGGCAGAAACCCATGAAGAGGCACTTAATCTACTCAGGATAATGAGATGCAACTAGCTATGGGGAAAAAAAGGCTTTCCACTAAACTAGGAAAGCTTAAGCGGGGAAAATACTCAGCTCCTTCAAACCTTTCTGAAGACGTCGAGTCCTGGTCCGGGCCGGGAAGATGTTTGGCACCGAAGGACCACGGAGGGCGGCAGCGGGACAGGTCCAACTGCCCCGGTCCCTGTGGGACAGCCTCGACTCCCCTCACAGGCACCCCCGCGCTACCGCCGGCGCGACCGGCACCAGGCAGGGAGGCAGCGCGGCGCTTCCACCGCGCCCAGCCAGCAGCACCCCACAGCAGCCCCCAGGCCAGACACACTGCCCACTCTCCTCCTAAGCGAGCACACTCTCCGCTCTCCCCCTGGCCGGGCACACTCACCGCCGCCCGCCGTCCCTCACGGCGCCGCTCCCGCTCTCTCGCCGTCTCTCGCCGTTTGAAAGGCGCAACCCGGTGCGAGCGGCTGCCCCAGCGGCGCGAGCGGCTGCCCCAGCGGCGCGAGCGGCAGGCCCCGCCCACTCAGCAGAACAGCCAATCCGCGCCCAGTCTCGGCACCCAGAGGCCCGGCGATTGGTGGGAGCGCCCTCCGTGAGGGCAGCGCCCCCTGCCGGCTGCCCAGCCCTCAGCGGCAGGTGTCGCCGGCGGGCGCTGCGGGGCCCGGCCGTGAGGGAGCTGAGGGTGCCGGGGCTCAGGGCGCTGCGGGGCCCGGCCGTGAGGGAGCTGAGGGTGCCGGGGCTCAGGGCCCTGAAGGAGCTGAGGGTGCCGGGGTTCAGGGCGCTGTGGGGCCTGGCCGCTCGCGTCCGCACCTCGCGGGGTGCGCGGGGCTGCCGCTTCGGGCCACAAGGCACCGATGGCGCGTTCCGGTCCCAGGGCTGTGTGCGAGCCAAACCCCGCAGCGAAGGCTCCTCGGTGCGTCAGCTGCATCCCCGAGCGCTGGAGCAGCGGGGCAGGTCCCGGTATCCCGTGCATCCCCCCGGGGTGGGCAGCCGGGGACATGAGCCGAGTCTGCAGCGCCTCTGCTCCGTCCTGGTGCGGGACGTGGCGGGGACAGAGCCGCAGCCGCGGGGCCAGCGGCCGCTGTGCGAGTGACGCAGCCGCGAAGCTCAGTGACCACAGCACCGGCCCAGTCCAGCTAAAAACCGAGCGATAAACCAGTTCTCACCGACAGCTGCCGGGAACAGAGCGCTGTCAGTACTGCTGTAGAAGTACACGGCTCGCACGGAGCATGTTTGACAATCTCTTAGTCATGCATGCAAGCGGCAACACAAGTCTTCAGAGCCTCGTGAGAAGCCCACCAGAAAAAAAAAAAAAGAAGTTAAAAGACTCTGACCTGTGGTTTCAAAGACTCCTCCCGAGGACTCAAAATAGCCTAAAGCATGGTTCAGAAATAAGTTGAAGTTAGAAGGAGTTCTAAAATAGTTGCAATTTGTTTGTCAAATTGATTTCCTCTGAAGCAATCCAACGAGCTAGAAATTTGCAAACATCCGTTTTATAATAGATTTGTCATAAAGGCAGTAATAGTAATGTAGCATAAGAGTTTAAGAGTTGTGTATTTAATTTCAGCAGTGCACCATTAGCGTTACTGGGTTAATTCTGTTTGTGCCATGGCACTGCCAGTGAAATGGATAATTGTTGTGTTTATTGCAGTGCCTAGGTCACGCTGTCACAGCAAGGTTTGCATTAAGATGAAAGTAACATAAATTGAGATAAGAAAGCAGAAAGTATTCTTGGAGAGTCTAGAATATGTCACAGCATGTAGCTGGCACACTGAGGTACCTACTAAAAACAAGGAACTCTTGCTTGCTTGAACTTCCATCTGGCCTTTTAGCACTCTGAGCAGTGGATATTTTTGACAAAAGCAGTCCAAAATCTTTACTCTCTCCCACCGAGTTCCACCACCTCTGCAAGGTTCAAGATCATACCGTTTCTTGATTATAACATGATCTGTCAAATAAAAATAACAACATGTGGACAGGATTGTTTTTGTTGAGAAGTGTTCTTTGTGCAGTATGAAAAGCAAGCAGCATTCCAAACATACCAAATGAGCCACAGAGTAAATTTACATGATGCCCACAATTAAGCTGCTTTAGGTTATTATAGCACGGGGTGCCAAGAAGTAAATGACAGTGCTTGTGTTTGTCTCCTTAGCTGCTTTTTTGTCTTTACTGATGCTCTTCAGGATTTGCTCTACTTTCCCTTTAAGTTCTGAAAAACAAGTCAGTACCAAAAATGCTTCATGACATGCATGTTATTGTACTCTTGGTTATCTGTTTCTGTAATGCCATAGAAACATGAATGGCACTTAGAGAAGGGTATAATTGACAGGACTCCACCCTGAGGACTTTGGAATTTTACTTAGATACACCACAACTAAGAAGTACAAACAAAGGGTGGAGAAGGGGGAATGGGTAGGCTGAAGGTCACAACAGTACAGGATCATGAGCTATTATTATTCCTAATGTATACACCTGGTCTTTGGGATGATTAAAAAATAGCAATTAAAGGTGTTAGCTTCATAGCTCCCGTTCCTAGTTACTTCTGCTCTGGCTTACCTTGATTATCGATCCATTACAAAGCTGCTCTCTTTTCAGCCTTTAGAGGCTTTCAGGAAGGAACTATTCCCACTTGATCAGCAGCCATTTGGCATAGCTGTGATGCACAGCCCCGGGGATCAGAGCCACAGGTGTTTTAGGGAGCCAGCCTTGTGGAAAAAGCCCAGCTCCCTCAAGGAATGCTGTTTTCAGCTCAGGTCTGTCACGGGTTGATGATGTTTGCAGTGAAGAGGTGGCAGCCTACCCTTCTGAGCAAGGAACTGTGTCACTGAGGTGGGGACAAGCACACAACATTAAGAGCTGCACAGCTGGAAGCTCAGAGTGTCTGAGCCTTCTCCAACTCGTTTTTATTTAATATAGGTCATCTAAAAAAATCTGATTCCCCCCCCTGCTAAAACCTCTTCACCACCTTCTCACACAAGGCAATCCTCCCGTGCAGTGGGAGATCTCGGGATCCCACCCAGGCACTGCTTCCCACAGCTGCCTCAGTGTCAGCAGAACGAGCTCCAGGCCAACTCCAGTGTTTACAGTGAGGAAAGTGAGTGATTGTGCACTACGTGGCATCAGTTATCAGTGACCCGAATGAAAATATCTTATGAGTCTGACAGCGAGAATGACAACAGACAAGATTCTGAAAGGGCTCCAGTCCCAAAGCCTCCCCTCTTCCCACAGCAGCTCTCCTTCAATGACTCAGGTTAGCTTGCACCACATCTCAAGTAGCAGCAAGACAATGCAAAATCACCTTCTAGAAAAAGTTTTTATTAAAATGGAAATATCACTTCACTAGCAGATTCTCCAAACAGTCCTGTGTAACACACAGGAGAAGTGACAAGTTGCCATTTAACCATTCTCCTTGGGCTGTGTCATGGTGGGGAGAACCCTTGCCTAAGAGCCGATTAAAGACCAGTTTCTCTCACTCTAACCAGCATTATCTCTTAGAAAAGTAGAGGGAAATATTTGGTGGGGGCCGCTGACTTTTATTAAGGACAAAAGAATGCATTTCCCCCGAAAGTATTTCCCTGTGAAAAAGAGAGGTTTCCTGTGCTACAGCCACTGCTGGGAAGTATTCTGCTGCCAGGTCTGATGCTCTATTCAAAAGCAGAGGCTCTTCTACAAAGCCCAAGCCTCTCCAATGTGCTGGCTGTGATATCTGGTGCTTTGTTTGTCATAGGGTTGGTTTTTCTCATATGTAGCTCATATTCAAATTACGTTGCATATGGCTGCAGAATCCTTAACTTCCCCACTTCCAAAATCATGATTTGTAATATTCCAGACTCCACAGGCCACCAGAAGTCACTTAGCAAAGGAGATGTCAGAAAGAGTATCTTGTGGTTTCTCTAAAGGTTTTTAAATGCTGTGAAAAACAGAATGATCTAAAGGTACTCATTTTAAAAAGGATGTTACAGTATATTCAGAGGCACAATAAAAGAGATGATTTACAAAGCGGATTTTGTAAGAAGATTTATTTTAATTAAGTGATTTCATGATGAAACATGGTCTTAAACAAAATAGAGATCAGTATGAAAATAAAATTATACACAGAAAATTCTTTTCCCCAAATGTTTTTGAGTAACAGGGAATACAACACAACAGTCCTGTATTCAAATTATGTAAATCTGTGAGCAGTCAAACATTATAGTACATTCCTTGCAGCCAGGCACAATGACACACATTGTGTGCCCCTGTAACACACTCAACACATTTTCTATCTATTCTCTCTGCCTCGAAGAAAAAAATCATGAAATGTAATGCAATGTGAATGGGGAAAAGGAGGGAAACCATCTTAATGCCTGAAGCATGTATTCCCCATTTAGTGTTTTGTGAAAGTCATGTACCAAATTCAGATGAAACTTAAACTGCTTGTAGAAAGATAGAAAATCTTGGAATTGTATTTGATATACAGTCTTGTGAACACTTAACTGAAAAGTATGGAAAGGATTAAAAAATACACTGTGTTCTACTTAAAACTTAGAAATAAATATGCACTCCATATTCTCAGTGCCTGAAATTCTTTAAAAACAAAGAACTTGGTATAAAATTATATCAAGTAATTGTCAAAAATGAG